ATGGACAGCGACCATGTGACGTTTTAAAATAGATTTTCGTGGTTTGCTAGTCATATATTAAATACTGCCAGACTCTAGATTATTTCTTTCAGCTGAAAGCATGGAAAACTGCAAGAAAGTATTTACCAGTTCCCCATAGTTTTTCCTACTCCAGACACACTAGTTTTAATCTTTAATCTAATTAGAACAATGCATACATCTTATTAGTTATCTGTGTGCCAATCAATTAACACACAATAAGGGTTCATGACGTGGGATGTGGAAAAGACGGACATTAAATGAGGAACCAGTACAAAATATGAGATAAAAGGAAAAAATGGCCAATTATCACACAGAGGTTTCTGGTTGAATTGAAATTGAAATGGAAATTGAAATTTATGGTGAACAAAGTGTGACAAAGTTCATTATCGTATTGAGTTTTAGTCAAACATCTTATTTTGTCTTGTCTTAATTTACTCAATCAAAAATGCAAAGCCGCTTAGTCTTCATCGTCGTCATTGTGGATTATTTCTTGAGCGTGTCATCATCTTTGACTGAAATAAAAAAACAGTTTTATTTTTTATTGTTGACTGAATGAACAGTTGGGGACAGGAACTCTTCTACCCTCGCCTCCAAGGAACTGCAGCATCTACACCCTGTATCTCTCAGACATTGACTTGAAAAGAGCTGCTAGCAAGGCTTTACCATATTCTTCTGTTTCTGTAGTGGCTCACTACCCCAGGTTCTACACATTCTGCCTACAGGTTTACCAATAGGTTTCTCTTTACTCAATAAACTCCTCAAGAAGGCTGGTTCTGTTTTGGGGCTGAGCCTTGACCACCTGGAGGTGGTGGTGGAGGGAGAACGCTGAGCAAGCTTACAGCCATCATGAACAATGCCATTCATCCGCTACATGGGACTGTTACTAGACACTGGAGCACTTTTAGTAACACACTACTCCAGCTACGGTGTTCAAGGGAACGTTTCTGAAGGTCCTTCCTCCCTGCGGCTGTCAGGGTGTATAATAAAAATAATAATTGCTTACACTTATATAGCGCTTTTCTGGACACTACACTCTAAGCACTTTACAGGTAATGAGGATCCCCTTCACCACCACCAATGTGCAGCATCCACCTGTATGATGCGACGGCAGCCATAGTGCGCCAGAACGCTCACCACACATCAGCTCCCAGTGGGGAGGAGAACAGAGTAATGAAGCCATTTCATAGATGGGGGTTATTGGGAAAGCCAACAATTGGTAAAGGGATAACACCTCTACTCTTTTCGAGAGACGCCCTGGTATTTTTAATGACCACACAGGACACAGTCAGGACCTCGGTTTTATGTCTCATCCGAAGGACAGTGCCTTTTTACAATATAGTGTCCTCGTCAATATACTGGGACATTAGGACCCACACAGACCACAGGCCCCACTAACACCTCTTCCAGCAGAAACCTTAGTTTTTCCCAGGAGTCTGAGTTGCAGGGTGATATGGCTGCTGGCAAGTATAACACTACCCTAGGCTAGGCCTGTTAGCCCTTCATCTGCTCATCTATGGACAGCATGTTGCACTCATGTACTTTTTGGACACTGTATTAATATACTGTTTATACTGTGGTAGTTTCAATCTGTATATACCTATGCACATTTTGTTATTAACATATGTTATTGTTTTACAGTGACTATTAGCATATTTTGCACACACCTGTTTTTTTCCTAACTCTTTTTTATTTTTGTATTCTACATACTTCATAATTACTCTAATGCTGAAGTTATTTTAATTTTTGTCTATTCTGATGTCTGTCTTGCTTTTGTTGGGCTGGGCTGCTGTAATGTCTCAATTTCTCTTCGGGATCAACAAAGTCTTATCTTAACTTATTGCTCACACTTTGGAAGTACTTACTACTGAGACTCCTCTGCCTTTTTTAGTTTTACCATCAGCCTAGCTTTTTTGATGTGATCAGGCTAAGAATATTCTGTACTTTATACTGGAATTCCTAGGTACTTACTCTTTGTAATCTGAGGAAAACAAATGTCCAAATGTCCGTAAAGCCCCTCTCATCTCTCTCTGCCACTGGGCCAACAAGTATTTCACAACTTCTTCCTTCATGAAGAACCATAAAGCATACCTCATACTTCACTGGCTTCCAAGCTTTTCAAAAAAGGATTGATCTTAGCTCCGTCGTTTATTTATTACCTCCAACAGGGCCTCTGTAGAGATAACCCTTTTCTCCAGCTGTTTCTTCTCTGGAACTGCCTGGTTGACCTGGGACTGGAGACTGGCTGTCATTCACTTCCTTTTCTATACTGGACCCTTTGGACTAGAGCTCGGGGAGGGCAGACATATCCTGTTTATTTCCAACCCTACCTGTCACTAAAGCTGTCACTGCTGATCTTGGGTTAAACTGTGGTGTCTAAACTGCTTAACAACAATCAAACTATTCTGATGGCAATTAACTGCCTAAGGACAGTTCATGAATGATTCCTTTGTCTAAGTCCATGAAATAAACGTGTGAGTGAAGGAAAGCACATTTAATGGAACTGCTGAACATCTTTGACTCAGTCGCTTAGGAATGCTGCCAAGTAGGCAGCATGTCCTCTTTCTCAAACTGAAACCAATTAATTAAGTTAGTTGAGATCCTGACATCTTGAGTGATGGATGGCCAACTTCAGCAGCGTCGAGATGGAGGCACACCAGTCTCTAGACCTCTTCTGTTATAAATCCACTGACAGGGCCAGAGGGATCCTGCAGTTAGCATGTCATGACCAATCAACACCTGCGCAAGCAGCTGACAATTTATCAAGTACTCTAATCCCAACCACCACTGTCCAAACCACCACAACAAGCAATTGCTGGGCTCAGAGAACATACATCAACCAGAATTCTACCTAAGGGTCCTCTCCAACAAGTGTCTGTGATTTTGTCTGATAATAATACTGTCACAAATCAGAGAGGATGGGGTCAAAATAAAGATTATTATATCAATTTAAATTAAAAGTTCCGTCCCCTAAAGTTAGGGATTACACAGCTTGTGTTTTTTATTCTCCGTACAACTTGATACTAGAGTAATAATCAGGTGTAATTTTAACTAAGACTAAAGCTCATAATGATAATCAACACATTTACTGTATATAATTAAAGAAAGCTTCACAATACACACCTGATACACTATTGCCAGATATTTAAAACTCTACACATCTGCGGGCTTCTATAGAAAACAAGAATTCTTCAAACTTCCTCTTGGCTCACATCCAGCAGATGAAAACTGACAAGCTCTGGCACAGATCCAGCTGAACTTCTCTGCATTTTAAATCCACATCAGAACTCTGCCTGGCCAAGCATTTTCAGTGCTGATAAGAATGCATGCGATTTTAACATTTCACAATCAAGAATTCGACTCTTATTCCAAATAATTCTCTCTCTATGCATGTTAATTAAAGATTCAGTTATGTTCATAAAATATTTATTTTAAAATATTGCAAATAAATACATTGTGTTTTCCCACAAGAGATGAACACAGGCATATTGACGTGCAGTAACTCCTAAAGGTTCTCAAGACTGATCTATGGAATTATTACAAAGCTATAATAGAATTCAGGAGGAAGGTCAAGCAAAGCTCATGTCTGCAACAGATGCCCTTTCTCTTGAACTCCACGCTATAGCAAACTTCTTTCAGCACATCTTTCACAGTGATGCACGTGAAATCAGGAGGTGGGAGCCCATACCACATTATATCGCTGCACACACAGCATAGCAAATTCAATCTGCACACTGCATGAGTCCTCCCTCTGCATGGTCTCAGAATTGTAATGGCACTGAATGGGACTCCACCAGGCTTTTCTACTGCTCGATGACACAATGTTCATCCTCTACGGAAATAAAACATCTGGATCAGTGCTTTCTAAACAGCACCTGCCACATTTGATGATGGACACAATTCTGCTGTCTAATTAAATTCTGAACCCTGGACTCCTCCAGGAACACTCATCACTGACTCTCTTTCACTGAGAACTACAGTACATATACCATATGAAACTTTTTCTATTGTAATGATCTAATAAGAAGAACACCTGAGTGACAAAAAAACCTGAGTGACACAAGTATTATGAACTAGTTTAGCCACATTTGAAGTTCACATCCTGATTGAAATACTCAAGACATCTGAGGATTTTCCTTACCATAATGAAGGCCAGCATTAATGAAAGCATTCATACAAAGAGACATGAGAGACCAAATAAGGAAGAAAAAAAGAGAGATTGACAGCAATGCTAACCACTGCTCCTCCCTGATTTATTATAGTCATAATAGTCATCACAACAGGAAATATTATCACTAAAATATTCATTGGTAGCAAATGATTTCTAAAACCAAATTTACATGTACTTGGGAAACCTTTGGAAGGCTTTAGCTCAAAATGACCTACTTTCCTTTAGATTAATTCCTGTGCTCATGGCAAGCTTCACATTGCTGTAATGTGCCCCAGAGTCTTACAAGAATGGAAAGGGGAAAAAAACTCCTGGAAAATATTAAACTTAGTATTTCCTTCAGAATTAAAATGTCCCACATAATGTTTTCACCAAGCACCATGTATATGACTAAAATTACAAGAAATTAATTAAAATCCCAATGCACAGTTTTTATTTCATATTCTTCTGTTTCTGGTTTCCATGACTTTGATTGTTTGAATAAATCACAGTTCATAATTTTAAATGAGGGTATACTGGCTTGTAAGTGGAAATTTCACATGTATTTCCTGCTTTCCTTTCCAGAAGTTATTTCTTATGGTTTTATGCCTTATTATTAAAAGGACATTCAATTTAATCCTGTATAAATTAATATTATATTTACACATGAGGGGATTTATTTTTTTTCCTTTCAGAGAATTTCCATTCAGCCACACCTTGTTTCTTTATGTGGGTTGAAATTCCATCCAGCTGGTTTCCCCTGCCAGACATGCCACCGTGTTCCCTTGGCTTTATAAAGTGAGCCCTCAAAGCAAAGCCAGCATCTGTCTCTTAGTCAGACTGCAAGAAAAACTTCACAAGCAGCATTCTGGTAAGACTTTTACTTTTCTTTGACCTTATTCCTATATACCCACTGTACTTGAATATACCATATATATTATATATATATAAATTCCATTTCTACTTATTAATATTATTTAAATGACAAGTTTTAAAGGTTTGTTTTTGGCCATGCATATTTTGAATTTGTTCTTCTTTAACTGAAATTAAACTTCAGAACAAAGAGATTTTTTTCAATACATTGTGAAGACTGAACTTCCGGTTATTTTATATTATTTGTCATTTGTAATATGCAAATGGATTATTCTACTTTAAATTGATTTTTTATTGTAATTCAGCAACCGAATGAGCTTATTTCTTAATATTTGTCCATATTTTGGGTCAACATACATCTGTGCTGTTTATATTCTATACTTGTACAGACAAGTATAATGTTTAGAAATCTGATAACTTTAAGATGCAACTAGAAAACATGTAGGACAGGATTTTGGTTTTCTTATTTAGGATGCAGACATAATGTAAAAAATATCAATATGTAGCTGTTTTTTTTTAGGTTTGTTTTATTCAGCAGCTCCCAGAAATGGCTCAGTACAATGGTGACACATACAAAAAAGACTCGTACAAGCTGTATGAAGCTGTCGCTCAGGTTGCCAGTGACTCTGATGTCCCAAACATCGCCTACTGCACTGTGGCTGTGGTGGCTGCTCTTGGCAAGTTGAACATGCTCAGGGTAAGAAATTAATTTGTTTTCCAACTTTAGTCCATTTAAGGAGCTGGAGCTGAACACATCCTAATGTTCTAGATTGTCCCTGAACTGTCATTACTGTATAAACAGTGATGAATGAGGTCATAGGCTCGAGTTCAAAAATACCTCATCAAGATCATTAAATGCTGCTTAATCCCACAGCTAAGTAAAGTATGATTCACTTTGGACTGTATATGCCATGTGGCCTCAGTGCTGTTCCAAACAGAAAACAAATACGGCACACTCCCCCTAAACATATGAAGCAGCTTTGAAAAGTATAACATCAGAAATCACATTACCATTCAAACACTGAAAAAACAAGAAGGGCACTGAAAACTGAAGACCGAGAGTGACTATAATCTCAGGGAATATTTGCTTTGAAGAATGTCAGAACGAATGTGAATGTGAGAACGAATATTTTGCTCTGCACTGACATAACATGTTTTTCAAATGCATGTGAAAGTGTCAGACATGAAATCACTCTGTTTTAGCCCTCTTTTTTAATCTGCTGCTTAATTTTAGTCAAAAAGGTTTGGTGCAAATGTTTCTGTCACTGCTACTGTTACGGATTCGGTAAGAGAAACCGAAACCAGTAAATGAACCCACTTGCAGGAGCTGATAAAGCCTAGCCGTGATCCAAAGAAAGCCGTAGTCGAAGAAACGAGCCGAGAGTCCAGGGGAAACCAGAGATCCAAAAGGGAACGAGTTACCGAAGCCAAAGCGTGATCCGAAACCGTAGACAATAGAGCAATCCGATAGTCCAGGGGAAGCCAGAGATCCAAAACAGAGCGTAAGTACCGAAGCCAAGCCGT